ACAAAGTCGCTTCTAATATGGGCGCAAAAGAACATACATGCAAAGTTACGCAATTACTTTTTTTTTGAAATATTACATATACTATACACTTACACTCATATTTACAATGACACTTATACACACACGCCTACACTTACACGAAATTACTCAACTCGGCGGGACTACCGTTATCACACGCTATTGAATCTGTGAACAGCAAGGAAGGACCAAGTCTGTTTCGCTGAGGCTATTAAACATTGAAGAAGATGATGATCTGAACGAAGAATTGCAATCGCTAAAAAGTTATTCACATAATACCCAACCAAAATATTTAAAAAAAATAAAAGTTTGAAAGCACGATGTATTTTCGAAATATAAATCAGAGTAGATAAATATCAAAAGTACAACATTATTAATTAAATCAAAAATGACGGAGAATAGATGCAGCTACTTGTATGTAAAGAATAGGAGAATATCCTCTATCTGCTGCAGATGCACTTCAAACATTTTTACTTTTACCAATTAATATATTCATCCACCACAGATAGCACAGAATCCGTGTCGATTATGCTGTAACATTATTTTGATCAGTGTGTGATATTAATTAGAATTTTAAAATAAATTATAACAGTTGTATTTAGTAACATATCCATGCGAAATTTTCTGACTAGTAACAGCAGAATTATTTTTAAAACGCGTTGTTCCGTTTTCTATTCAGGTTTATCTAATTTTTTAAATTTTACCGTCGTGATTTACATGCTATTAGATATTGACACTTCTTCTTAAACAATGTTTATTATCGAACAAATGATTATTTGATTTATGTTCTCTCATATTTTTGAACGCGTTCTCTTATTCTTTATAAGTTTTTGTACCAAGAAGAAATAATTAATTTTTCGAATTTTGCAGTTTTCATTTAGATAATAAAACTTTAGTATATGATTCTTTTCAGTCGTTCTTATTTTCAAACTTATGACGATTTCATTAATGTATATCGAATTATTAAAATACGCGCTGTTCATTTTATTATGTTTTAATCACTTGCGGCCACAATTAAATATTTCTTATAATCATATAATTTACTGCTATAACTTACTTGTCATGTTTTTCAATTTTTGCACTATTAAAATATATATAAACAATGTATTTTTGCCTGATTCTAAAGTATTAAAAGTCGACGCTATGTTTCCGTAGACGACACTCCTTGTTATTATGTATATTAAACGGAAGAATTTGTAAGTTGGTATGTTTTATTTAACATTAACTAAATATTTAACTAAATATTGAAATAAAATATTTTTGGCTATCTTTATATCGTATTATAAATCGATAATTGATATTTTGTCATTTCTTATCATGATTTTTTCTCTGGAGAACCTTGTGTTTGTATAAATAATATATAATTAGGTCATTATACATTTACAACGTTTATTCAATTTTAATGAAAAAATCCATATGTGCAATATATACATATATTTCGAAAGTTCCCGACAAAGAAACAATTTTCTACGCGTGCACGTCAAATCTCAATAATTATTTTTGTTCAAAATACAATCTTACTCATGATTTACGTTTACAATTCAGATAAAAGCAGGTACTGAAATTATTGATGTATTTCGATGTTCTATGCGTGTTAAAATGTGCATCTTTCATTACCGACTATATATGCAACGATCGTTTTTATATTAATTATGAATTAAAACTGATATTGTATGATTAATTCTGACAAGCAACTTTAACGTAAGAACAATTTTTATAATCTCTCCTTCTGATAGAAGAGATATAATTATTGCTGGCTAATCATAAGACATTCAAATTTATAAACTGGCCCGGTTGCTGCGAAGTAACTCTCATGAAAACACACATATATATATAAACAGTATTTAATATTTATTTGGGAATACGTCCCGATAGACATATATTAAATTTATACACAGTACAGACCAGTAAAGTTCGTATTAGTAAAGTCAAAGGCGATTATACATACACGCTTTAACGTCGTTCCGTTAAAAGAAACGAGATTAATAGGAATTACAAAATAAATTCTTGTCACGATTACCTTTTAACAATAAGTATCTGTGCACATTTCTGATTCAAAAGAGCAAAATCTAAACACATTCGAATAAAATCGTCAAGTAAAAGAGGTAACAAGGAAAATCTAGAGTTAAACGAGTTATACGAACAAAAAATCAGCAGGTACGTACAAATAAGACACAGATTAAAAAGAATCCTGTAAGAAAAGATAAATTATGTGGAAATTATTTGTATTGCATATATTTTTTGCTATATTTAATATATATTGTAATATTTTTAAAACTTTTCCACAATTTTGATTAAAACAATAAAGTAAAAAGTACACTTTGTCTTAAATTTTATCAAGAAAATAATACATATAATGCGACAATATTCTGTTTAATATTTTATAATCTTTGAAAATTGACAATATCAAATATCGCTGAATAATTTATTAAATAAAAATAGGAAATAGCTGATCAAGGAATAACCGTAAATTTTTCAAAAAATTATTTAAAATTATATAGAAAAATATAAACAAACAAATAGGTCGAACACATTTTTATATCTTCGAGGTTTTAATTGTTTTGAAGTATATCTTGCATTGTCATGTGTTAGTGACATAAATATATATATAAAGAATTTCTAGTGATATAAAAATCAGTAATTATAATATATTAGTGTATTAAAATTCACAAGATTAAGAATTTGATTTTCTCTACGCCTGTATTTGTTTGTTCATAAATGAGTCTTTTAATAGATATATAATTTCAAATAATAAAGTACATGAGTAAAGATACATGATTATAAACGGTTTTTCGTCATTTTTTGCTTTTTGTTTATTTTTTATAATAAATAAATATTTGTTCTATTTCTTTTCTTTATAAATACAACAATTAAAAATTTCTTTTATTTCAAAAAGAGACTCAGATCGATAAACTGAAATTTTTATATTTAGAACGAAAATATTTTACATAATACATAATGTTTTCTGAGCGCGTGTATCTTGAGCGCGTGTATCTTGAGCGCGAGTCAAAATCTCCCTTTCGAGGCCGCGCATTGTCTTCTTTCTCTCGATTTTTCCACGACCTTATTTTTATTTTTAGGTGATTAGCCTATCTATTATTTTGAAGAACTTTCGCTTTTTATTTTGTTCGGAAATCACAATCTACCTTCGTCATGCTAGACGCTTATTTATTTATTTATTATTTCGTGTCACCGGTCGCGATATCCTTAACTCACGTCGCTTGTCATATATTTTTATTTCGTGTAAATTTTATTTTCTATATATTTTAATATGCTTGTGGCATTTATCGCCACAATTGTATACGTGAAAAATTTATCAAATAACGAAAATAAACAGTAAATTTAATATTATGACAATATGAATGTTTGTCTTTGATAGCATATCATCACATTTTATGTTCAATTTTTATAATATTTATTATTTAATAATAATTGATACAACGTCGTACATTACATTGTTGTAATGAAGCTTTGCATTAAAAAGATTGTTCAATAATACATATATAGTTATATCTTACTTTTTAATTTTAGATTTCAGGTTAACTACGATTAAACAACTGACCATAATTGCGCTAGAGTGTTGCAATATACTCGCCGAAATACACAGTAATCAAATAAATTTATAAATACTATTCTCAAAATAAATTTGTTGGTAAAAAAGAAAGTCACAAGCAGGACGAAGATATGCAAGACGGAGGTGCCGATCCCTCCAGACAAATGGATTCCGATCCAACTGGACAGCCGGAAACGTATACATGCCATCTCTGTTTACGGACATTCACTTCTGAGATCTACTATTCCGATCATTTAGAGTTACACGACACCGGATATAATTATCTTTGCTGCCATTGCAACTTAAAATTCATATCTGAGTGGGATATGCATGAACATGTAAAAAAGTATCACAAGAATGTTTGTTTAAAGTGTAATAAATGCGACAAAGTTTTCGTGAATTTAAACTCTCTTGAATACCACAAAAAAATGTGTCATTATGATGGCAAGAAAGCTTCTAAACCGAAACAGGATTGCGGGTCAGAGGGTAAGAGAAAGAGGCACGAATGGGACAACTCTGACGCGGACTCGGAAGGTTTGTCTCGGCAACTTTAATTTTCCGTGTAAAATTGATTACAAAATGAGTGGTTAATGTAATATATACTCTATTATATATTCTTGTCCTAATAATACGCAAATGACGGAATATTTAATTACAACGACAATTCTTTAAATAATTGAACAGCGCAAAGATTATAAAAAAAGAACATGATTTTATTATAAAACATAAAACCGCTAGACATGTATTAGCATTGTAGAAAATTGACATTTAAGACAATATTAAAAATATCTATTCATTTTTTGATATTAATGCTAAGTTTTCTTTACTTTTATTTGTGTGTAGTTCCTTTGTATTATAAAACTTCTCAAGAAGAACAGAAAAGTCAAAATAATGTCAATTTTACGTCATATTTACTAAAAATGACTTTTTATACTGACTTTCTTACCTGTTTAAGTTATAGAAAATGTGACATACGTTTCTCGATTGTGTAGATACAATGTTTATGAAGATAATTAAAGATTAACGTTTTTCATATTCAGATATCATTGTAATTCGCAGAAAAGTTGAGTGATTGTACATAGAGAAAAAAATGTTGATTCAATTGAACGTCGACGTCACGGGCTGCCACAAAAATATGCCAGTTGATTCATCCGTATTATTTTAATTCAATGACATAATTAATCAAATCGAGATTATCATGCATTTGTTTATTCTGCATATGTTTAAACAAAAATGTGTTTCTGGCAGCCCGTGACGTCGACGTTTATTGAATCAACAACATTTGTTTCTCAGTTTATTAAAAATTATATTGTTGACTGATATATTATTTAAGTCAGCTCACTTTTTAAAGTTGTATTTCAATTTTTTTTAATACAAAATAATTTTTTTAGATGATAAGCAAGAGGAACGTCTCGGTCCTTCCACACAAATGGCTTCCGGTTCAACTGGAGATAATATGCAAGACGAAAGTGTCGGTCCCTCCAGACAAATGGATTCCGATCCAACTGAACAGCCGGACAAGTATGTATGCAATCTCTGGTTTAGACTATTCTGTTCTTTGGACGTGCTTCATAATCGTTTAAAAGTCCACATGAATTATCTTTGCAACCATTGCGACCAATAATATTTATTTGTAAATCCCATTTCAATGCACATACGCGTTCGACACGTAATTTTAATCGTTTCAAGTGTGATATATGCAATTCAACTTATTATGATTTTTCGACTTTGAATGGCAAAAAAAACACCATAGTGTACGCAAAAAATCCGTAACAACGGAGGAACAGAAGTACGAGTTGAAACGTAAGCAAAAGAATCTCGAACGCGAATCCTTAAAAAAGAAGTTAAAGCAGAAGAGTTGAGTAATTTTTAAAAATTAAATCGTTGATTAAAATATTATTTAAAGCAGCTTACTTCTTAAATTTGCATTTTTATTATTTTTAATACAAAATAATAATTTTATTAGATAATAAGCGTTACATGTGTGATAAATGCGGGAAATTATTTTCGAATTTATCCAACCTTAGAAGGCACAAAAGGACATTTCATAATAATGGCAAAGAAGACGCGGACTCGAAAGGTTTGTCTCAGCAACTTTAATATTCTGTGTAAAATTGGCTACAAAATGAGTGGTTTTTGTAATATATACATTATTATATATTCTTGTTCTAATAATATGCAAATGACGGAAGATTTAATTACAACGACAATTCTTTAAATAATTGAACAGCGCAGCGATTATAAGAAGAGAACATGATTTTATAATAAAACATAAAACCGCTAGACATGTATTAGCATTGTATAAAATTGACATTTGAGACAATATTAAAATATCTATTTATTCTTTTATATTAATGCTAAGTTTTCTTTACTCTTATTTGTTATTATTGTGTAGTTTCTTTGTATTATAAAACTTTCCAAGAAGAACGAAATAATCAAAATAATGTCAATTTTACGTCATATTGACTAAGAATGACTTTTTATACTAACATTTTACCTGTTTAATTTTTAAAAGATAATTAAAGGTTACCGTTTTTCATATTCAGATATTATTGTAGTTCGCAGAAAAGTTGAGTGATCGTACACAGAGAAAAAATGTTGTTGATTCAATTGAACGTCGACGTCACGGGCTGTTACAAGCATATGCAGTTGATTTATCAGTATTTTGTTAATTCAATGACATAATTAATCAAGTCAAGATGTCATGTTTTTGTTTATACTGCATATATTTAAACAAAAATAAGTTTGTGGCAGCACGTGACGTCGACGTTCAATTGTATCAACATTTTTTTCTTAGTGTATTAAAAATTATATTGTAGACTAAAATATTATTTTAAGCAGCTCACTTTTTAAAATTGTATCTCAATCATTTTTAATACAAAATAATAATTTTTTTAGATGATAAGCAAGAGGAACGTCCTGGTCCCTCCAGACAAATGGCTTCCGATTCAACTAGAGATAATATTTTTATTAGCACACCACATCCGAAAAACATTCAGAGATTATCCAGAGAATATCCAGAAAACATTCAATCATCCTCAGCATCTTCTTTGAACGTCTTCGGGATACGTGCACTGTTACGGACGCCAGACGAAAGTGTCGGTTCCTCCAGACAAATGGCTTCCGGTTCAACTGGAGATAATATGCAAGGCGAAAGTGTCGGTCCTTCCAGACAAATGGATTCCGATCCAACTGAACAGCCGGACAAGTATGTATGCAATCTCTAATTAAGACTATTCTGTCCTTTGGACGTGCTTCATAATCATTTATAGGTCCACATGAATTATCCTTGCAACCATTGCGACCTATAATAATCATTTGTAAATCCTATTTCAATGCACATACGCGTTCGACACGTAATGTTAATCGTTTTAAATGTGATATATGCAATTCAACTTTTTATGATCTTTTCGACTTTGAATGGCACAAAAAAAACACCATAGTGTAAGCAAAGAATCCTTAAAAAAGAAGAAACAGGAATACGACTTGTTGAGCCGTAAGAGAATGAAGTGCGAATTCTTAAAAAAAAAGGAACAGAAGTTGAAGCGTAAGAAAAGGAAGCTCGAAGACTCTGACGCGGACTCGAAAGGTTTGTCTTAGCAACTTTAATTTTTTGTGTAAAATTGGCTACAAAATGAGTGGCTTTTGTAGTATATACATTATTATATATTTTTGTTCTAATAATATGTAAATGACGGAACATTTAATTACAACGACAATTCTTTAAATAATTGAACAGCGCAGCGATTATAGGAAGAGAACATGATTTTATTGTAAAACATAAAACCGCTACATGTATTAGCATTGTAGAAAATTGACATGTTAAACAATACTAAAAATATGTATTCATTCTTCTATATTAATGCTAACTTTTTTTTACTTTTATTTGTGTGTAGTTTCTCTGTATTATAAAACTTCCCAAGAAGAACAAAAAAATCAAAATAATGTCAATTTTACATCATATTGACTAAGAATGACTTTTTATACTAACATTTTACCTGTTTAATTTTTAGAAGATAATTAAAAGTTACCGTTTTTCATATTCAGATATCATTGTGGTTCGCATAAGTGTTGAGTGATCGTACACAGAGAAAAAATGTTGTTGATTCAATTGAACGTCGACGTCACGGGCTGTTACAAGCATATGCAGTTGATTTATCAGTATTTTGTTAATTCAATGACATAATTAATCAAGTCAAGATGTCATGTTTTTGTTTATACTGTATATATTTAAACAAAAATAAGTTTGTGGCAGCACGTGACGTCGACGTTCAATTGTGTCAACATTTCTTTCTTAGTGTATTAAAAATTATATTGTAGACTAAAATATTATTTTAAGCAGCTCACTTTTTAAAATTGTATCTCAATCATTTTTAATACAAAATAATAATTTTTTTAGATGATAAGCAAGAGGAACGTCCTGGTCCCTCCAGACAAATGGCTTCCGATTCAACTAGAGATAATATTTTTATTAGCACACCACATCCGAAAAACATTCAGAGATTATCCAGAGAATATCCAGAAAACATTCAATCATCCTCAGCATCTTCTTTGAACGTCTTCGGGATACGTGCACTGTTACGGACGCCAGACGAAAGTGTCGGTTCCTCCAGACAAATGGCTTCCGGTTCAACTGGAGATAATATGCAAGGCGAAAGTGTCGGTCCTTCCAGACAAATGGATTCCGATCCAACTGAACAGCCGGACAAGTATGTATGCAATCTCTAATTAAGACTATTCTGTCCTTTGGACGTGCTTCATAATCATTTATAGGTCCACATGAATTATCCTTGCAACCATTGCGACCTATAATAATCATTTGTAAATCCTATTTCAATGCACATACGCGTTCGACACGTAATGTTAATCGTTTTAAATGTGATATATGCAATTCAACTTTTTATGATCTTTTCGACTTTGAATGGCACAAAAAAAACACCATAGTGTAAGCAAAGAATCCTTAAAAAAGAAGAAACAGGAATACGACTTGTTGAGCCGTAAGAGAATGAAGTGCGAATTCTTAAAAAAAAAGGAACAGAAGTTGAAGCGTAAGAAAAGGAAGCTCGAAGACTCTGACGCGGACTCGAAAGGTTTGTCTTAGCAACTTTAATTTTTTGTGTAAAATTGGCTACAAAATGAGTGGCTTTTGTAGTATATACATTATTATATATTTTTGTTCTAATAATATGTAAATGACGGAACATTTAATTACAACGACAATTCTTTAAATAATTGAACAGCGCAGCGATTATAGGAAGAGAACATGATTTTATTGTAAAACATAAAACCGCTACATGTATTAGCATTGTAGAAAATTGACATGTTAAACAATACTAAAAATATGTATTCATTCTTCTATATTAATGCTAACTTTTTTTTACTTTTATTTGTGTGTAGTTTCTCTGTATTATAAAACTTCCCAAGAAGAACAAAAAAATCAAAATAATGTCAATTTTACATCATATTGACTAAGAATGACTTTTTATACTAACATTTTACCTGTTTAATTTTTAGAAGATAATTAAAAGTTACCGTTTTTCATATTCAGATATCATTGTGGTTCGCATAAGTGTTGAGTGATCGTACACAGAGAAAAAATGTTGTTGATTCAATTGAACGTCGACGTCACGGGCTGTTACAAGCATATGCAGTTGATTTATCAGTATTTTGTTAATTCAATGACATAATTAATCAAGTCAAGATGTCATGTTTTTGTTTATACTGTATATATTTAAACAAAAATAAGTTTGTGGCAGCACGTGACGTCGACGTTCAATTGTGTCAACATTTCTTTCTTAGTGTATTAAAAATTATATTGTAGACTAAAATATTATTTTAAGCAGCTCACTTTTTAAAATTGTATCTCAATTATTTTTAATACAAAATAATAATTTTTTTAGATGATAAGCAAGAGGAACGTCCTGGTCCCTCCAGACAAATGGCTTCCAGTTCAACTAGAGATAATATTTTTATTAGCACACCACATCCGAAAAACATTCAGAGATTATCCAGAGAATATCCAGAAAACATTCAATCATCCTCAGCATCTTCTCTGAACGTCTTCGGGATACGTGCACTGTTACGGACGCCAGACGAAAGTGTCGGTTCCTCCAGACAAATGGCTTCCGGTTCAACTGGAGATAATATGCAAGGCGAAAGTGTCGGTCCTTCCAGACAAATGGATTCCGATCCAACTGAACAGCCGGACAAGTATGTATGCAATCTCTAATTAAGACTATTCTGTCCTTTGGACGTGCTTCATAATCATTTATAGGTCCACATGAATTATCCTTGCAACCATTGCGACCTATAATAATCATTTGTAAATCCTATTTCAATGCACATACGCGTTCGACACGTAATGTTAATCGTTTTAAATGTGATATATGCAATTCAACTTTTTATGATCTTTTCGACTTTGAATGGCACAAAAAAAACACCATAGTGTAAGCAAAGAATCTTTAAAAAAGAAGAAAAAGGAATACGACTTGTTGAGCCGTAAGAGAATGAAGTGCGAATTCTTAAAAAAAAAGGAACAGAAGTTGAAGCGTAAGAAAAGGAAGCTCGAAGACTCTGACGCGGACTCGAAAGGTTTGTCTTAGCAACTTTAATTTTCTGTGTAAAATTGGCTACAAAATGAGTGGCTTTTGTAGTATATACATTATTATATATTCTTGTCCTAATAATATGTAAATGACGGAACATTTAATTACAACGACAATTCTTTAAATAATTGAACAACGCAGCGATTATAGGAAGAGAACATGATTTTATTATAAAACATAAAACCGCTAGACATGTATTAACATTGTAGAAAATTGACATTTAAGACAATATTAAAAATATCTATTCATTTTTTGATATTAATGCTAAGTTTTCTTTACTTTTATTTGTGTGTAGTTCCTTTGTATTATAAAACTTCTCAAGAAGAACAGAAAAGTCAAAATAATGTCAATTTTACGTCATATTTACTAAAAATGACTTTTTATACTGACTTTCTTACCTGTTTAAGTTATAGAAAATGTGACATACGTTTCTCGATTGTGTAGATACAATGTTTATGAAGATAATTAAAGATTAACGTTTTTCATATTCAGATATCATTGTAATTCGCAGAAAAGTTGAGTGATTGTACATAGAGAAAAAAATGTTGATTCAATTGAACGTCGACGTCACGGGCTGCCACAAAAATATGCCAGTTGATTCATCCGTATTATTTTAATTCAATGACATAATTAATCAAATCGAGATTATCATGCATTTGTTTATTCTGCATATGTTTAAACAAAATGTGTTTCTGGCAGCCCGTGACGTCGACGTTTATTGAATCAACAACATTTGTTTCTCAGTTTATTAAAAATTATATTGTTGACTAATATATTATTTAAAGCAGCTCACTTTTTAAAGTTGTATTTCAATTTTTTTTAATACAAAATAATTTTTATAGATGATAAGCAAGAGGAACGTTCCGGTCCTTCCACACAAATGGCTTCCGGTTCAACTGGAGATAATATGCAAGACGAAAGTGTCGGTCCCTCCAGACAAATGGATTCCGATCCAACTGAACAGCCGGACAAGTATGTATGCAATCTCTGGTTTAGACTATTCTGTTCTTTGGACGTGCTTCATAATCGTTTAAAAGTCCACATGAATTATCTTTGCAACCATTGCGACCTATAATATTTATTTGTAAATCCCATTTCAATGCACATACGCGTTCGACACGTAATTTAATCGTTTCAAGTGTGATATATGCAATTCAACTTATTATGATTTTTTCGACTTTGAATGGCAAAAAAAAACACCATAGTGTACGCAAAAAATCCGTAACAACGGAGGAACAGAAGTACGAGTTGAAACGTAAGCAAAGGAATCTCGAACGCGAATCCTTAAAAAAAAAGTTAAAGCAGAAGAGTTGAGTAATTTTTTAAAAATTAAATCGTTGATTAAAATATTATTTAAAGCAGCTTACTTCTTAAATTTGCATTTTTATTATTTTTAATACAAAATAATAATTTTTTTAGATAATAAGCGTTACATGTGTGATAAATGCGGGAAATTATTTGCGAATTTATCCAACCTTAAAAGGCACAAAAGGACATTTCATAATAATGGCAAAGAAGCTTCTAAACCGAAACAGGATTGCGGGTCAGAGGGTAAGAGAAAGAGGCTCGAATGGAATCACTCTGACGCGGACTTAAAAAGTTTGTCTCGGCAACTTTAATTTTCTGTGTAAAATTGGCTACCAAATAAATGGTTTTTGTAATATATACATTATTAAGTATTCTTGTTCTAATGATATTGCAAATAACGGAAAATTTAATTACAACGACAACTCTTTAAATAATTGAACAGCGCAGCGATTATAGGAAGAGAACATGATTTTATTATAAAACATAAAACCGCTAGACATGTATTAGCATTGTAGAAAATTGACATATTAGACAATACGAAAAATATGTATTCATTCTTTTATATTAATGCTAAGTTTCTTTTCTTTTATTTGTGTGTAATTCTTTTGTATTATAAAACTTCGCAAGAAAAACAAAAAAGTCAAAATAATGTCAATTTTACGTCATATTGACTAAGAATGACTTTTTATACTAACATTTTACCTGTTTAATTTTTAGAAGATAATTAAAGATTACCGTTTTTCATATTCAGATATTATTGTAGTTCGCAGAAAAGTTGAGTGATCGTACACAGAAAAAAATGTTGTTGATTCAATTGAACGTCGACGTCACGGGCTGCCACAAACATATGCAGTTGATTTATCAATAATTTGTTAATTCAATGACATAATTAATCAAATTAAGATGTCATGCTTTTGTTTATACTGCAAATGTTTAAACAAAAATATGTTTGTGGCAGCCCGTGACGCCGACGTTCATTAAATCAACATTTTTTTTCCAGTTTATTAAAATTATATTGTTAATTAAAATATTATTTTAGAAAAACCAAAGTACGAGTTGAAGCGTAAGCAAAGAAATCTCAAACGCGAATTTAAAAGAAAAAAGGTACAGGAGTACTGGTTGAGTCGTAAGAAAAGGTCCGGAGGCGACAAATCTGACGCGGACACGAAAGGTTTGTCTCGGCAACTTTAATTTTCTGTGTAAAATTGGCTACAAATTGAGTGGTTTTTGTAATATATACATTAATTTATATTCTTGTTCTAATAATATGCAAATGACGGAAGATTTAATTACAACGACAATTCTTTAAATAATTGAACAGCGCAGCTATTATAAAAAAGAACGTGATTTTATTATTTTAATATAAAACATGAAACCGCTAGACATGTATTAGCGTTGTAGAAGATTGACATTTTAGGTAATACTAAAAATATGTATTCATTCTTTTATATTAATGCTAAGTTTTTTTTACTTTTATTTGTGTGTAATTCCTTTGTGTTATAAAACTTCCCAAGAAGAACAAAAAAGTCAAAATGACATCAATTTTATGTCATATTGACTATATTTATGTCATTTTTTTAGTCATAAAAATCTCGATCTCGAAAATGACTAAAAAATGACTTTTTATACTGGCTTCCTTACCTGTTTAAATTTTAGAAAATGTGACGTACGTTTTTCGACTGTGTAGATGCAATGCATATTATTATGAATATAATTTAAGGTTTTCGTTTTTTATATTCAGATATTATTGTAGTTCACAGAAGAGTTGAGTAACTTTTTAAAAATTAAATTGTTGATTAAAACATTATTTAAAGCAGCTCACTTCTTAAAGTTGCATCTCTATTATTTTTAATACAAAATAATAATTTTTTTAGATAATGAGCAAGAGAAAGGTGCCGATCCCTCCAGACAAATGGATTCAGGTTCAACTGGAGATAATATGCAAGCTGAAAGTGTCGATTCCTCCAGACAAATGGATTCCGATCTAACTGGACAACCGGACAAGTAAGTATGCCATCTCAGATTAAGACTATTCTGTTCTTTGGACGTGCTTCATAATCATTTAGAGGTCCACAAATTTAATCAGAGTTATCCTTGCTACAATTGCGATCTAACATTTATTTGTAAATCCCATTTCAGTGCACATACGCGTTCGTCGCACACTGTTGGTCGATGGAAATGTGATTTTTGCACGAAATCTTTTGCGGATTTACGCTTGCTTTCACAGCACGAAGAGAAAGAGCATAAGAAAGAAAAGGAAATGCGAGACGGAGATGCCGGTCCTTCCAGACAGATGGATTCCGGTTCTAAATGATAATTGAAGGAGAAGAGGAACGTAACAATGTGATAATTAAAAAAGAAGAGGAACTCGATCCTGCCTGGCCGTGACGAAGACTTATCTCAACATCTTGATTTTATACTGGACTGCACACCAGATTGAGAAGAACAAAATTGAAGACGTTGAACCTATTGAACAATCCAAGGTTAATCAGCAGCGCGATGACAGCTCCAGACAGGATATTTATGTAGCACAACAAAAAGGCGACGAATCTTTTGGATCTGTTTCGGGCCTCTTGCAATACTCCTCTTCATCCGATATAAATATGAAGATTTCGAACTTCTAATAAAGAATATTTCAAGTCTCTAATCTTAAAATTGACGCGCAAAAGCCGCAAGCATTGACAAGTAGAATCGAGTTGGTCGAAGGCGAAGAAGTTCAACAGCAAAGTATACATCGCTAAAGCATTTTGCACAGCACCAATATGACAGGAAATTGAAATGTAAAATTGCGACACGGATTTCAGTAAGCTCGACCAATGGTACAGATACAAATGTCAAAACGAAGAAAATATCGCCAAATAAAACCGTTTAAATTTTGGTGCAACAAAAATTTCCAACATGATAAAAATTTCGAAATTCACCTACTCGATTCTATCAAATCCAAGCCATATTTAAATGTAAAAGACCAGTTTGATTTGAAATGAATTCCGATTAATTTAAATCTTCTTCAATAAGTAAAAATCAAAAATTATTCTTTAACTAATAATTTAATGTAATCGCATAATGCAACTTCAGAAATATATGGATGTAGATAAACAAACATATATATATATATATATATATATATATATATATTTTAAATTTATATTTATATATAAATTTATATTTATTTATATATAAATATAACTATATATGTCTACAATTTTTACTTTTTAATACTTAAAATCGTCTTTTTTATTTTTGAATGTATTTCATTAACGTCTATCCTGCAATTTAAATATGATTTGTTTAAATATATATCTATATATATTTAAATAACACACTTTAAATATAGGATATCGTTAATTATGAGATACATAAAGAAGATAATTTTAAATATAGAAACGTAAAATTATACAATAAAATTTTGTCACATAGAAATTTTGCTCGCTCATAAATCAACATTAATAACATTATTAACTTGTTTTCTCTGTTTTAGATAAAGATAATCTTTAATAACATTAAGTTATTATAATGTAATTATTATATTATTAATCATTATTTTGTTGTTGTATCAATAATTAATCTGTTAATTAGTAATTATTGATTTATAATTCATGCAATATTAATGATTATTGAAAATGAAATTACACTATCGTTTATGTATATAAAATTGGTATTATTAACAATTATATATCGTATTAATTAGACAATTGTACGTACAGATACATGTGCAGACGTACACATACATACCCATTATTATGACATCATTTTGATGTCATAATAATTACTGTGGCTATCTGGGTATGTACAAACGTACACATACGACATAATTATAATTATTACTTTCTGACAACCAATAATTAAACAATTTAATTATTAACATTATAAATTTAATAATTATAATTTACGAATATAATTCTCGCATAAAAGAAATTTTTAATTTATATTTCATATTATCCGTTAAACTTTAATTTTCTATGTAAAATTGGTTACTAAATGAGTGATTTTTGTAATATACATTATTATTTTGTTGTAATATTTTTGTTCTAATAATATGCAAATGACGGAAGATTTAATTACGACAATTCTTTCAATAATTGAACAACGCAGCTATTATAAAAAAGAACGTGATTTTATTATTTTAATATAATACATAAAACCGCTAGACATGTATTAGCGTTGTAGAAAATTGACATTTTAGGTAATACTAAAAATATGTATTCATTCTTTTATATTAATGCTAAGTTTATTTCACTCTTTTGTGTGTAGTTTCTTTGTATTATAAAACTTCCCAAGAAGAACAGAAAAGTCAAAATAATGCCAATTTGACGTCATATTGATTAAATTTATGTCATTTTTGGTCATGGAAATCTCGATTTGGAAGATGACTAAGAAATGACTTTTAATATTGACTCTTATTACCTGTTTGATTTTTAAAAAATGTGACTAACGTTTCTCCTCTGTGTATATACAATGCTTATTATTATGAAGATAATTAAAGATAATGTTTTTCATATTCACATATCATTGTAATTCGCAGAAGAGTTGAGTTATTGTATTAAAAATTAAATTGTTGACTAAAATGTTATTTTAATCGGCTCACTTTTAAAGTTGCATCTCAATTATTTTTAATACAAACTAATGATTTTTTATTATTGTGAACATCAAAATATCATCAAAATTTTATACAATTTGATGTCATTTTGACAAACTAGAATTTGACAATATTTGACATGAATTTGACATCATTTTGACATTTCTGTTCTTTTCGGGTTACCATGACATGCGATATTTCAGTGCGCAAATTATGTTTTTATTCATTAATAAATATTGAAATAATAATTATAGTTATTAAATATATGTATCAATAACAAATTTCGATATTTCAGTGCGCAAATTATGTCTTTATTCATAAATAGATAATAAAATAATAATTATAGTTACTAAATATATGTATCAATAACAAATTTCGATATTTTAGTGCGCAAATTATGTCTTTATTCATTAATAGATAATAACATAATAATTATAGTTATTAAATATATGTATCAAATAACAAATATACAAAAACAATCCAATTTTGAGTAACATATTTGGAAATGTTTATACATATTTATTAAATGGTTAGAGATACTTCTCTAAACCAATTGACTTTATCATTTTATTAATTTGTACCGTGTTATCTTTTCTCTAAATGCGTTTCTCAGTTGTGCATCGTAATCAATTAAGCTTTTAGCAGTATAAAAGATCGTAGCTTAATTTTTGTTGGAAATATATGAATTTTGATTTAATTAATTGATACATAAAATAAACTTTCGAAATAAATCTAGGAAAAGCGGAAT